TTCCTCTGGCCAAGCCCTCAGCTCAGGTCCACTGGCTCAGACCTTGGCTCCTAGGCTTTGTACCCCATAGCCAGTAGTGGTGGGAGAAAATATTATTTAGGGACACTGAGGGCCATTGCAGGGCGGCACACATGGATGGTGGAGGAGCACACGGCAAGGTGTTGGGCGCAGCACTGTGGCTGCAGCAGTGGGGCATGGCAGTGGTGCCAATGCTCCTGGGCACTGTGGGACTAAGCCCTGTTAGCCCCAGTCTTCTGCTGCCTATGCCCATAGCAGGTCTTGCCCTGCACAACACACCTGGCACCCTGCACTGTGGCTTTCAAACCACTCCTGCAGCCACTATCCAAACCTCCAGTCAAACTTAAACACAAAATGCCAAACCAGGCAGTTCTAACTCAAATATAAACCTCTCCTTGGATCTCTTTTTCTTCTAGCCCTCCCACGTTGGCAGGTTAGTTTCCTCCAACCCACCAGCTAGCTTGCCTAGGCTGGCTTCACTCAACACTGCAGTCAGTTCTATTCAGAGCTCCTCACTCTGTGGCACCCAGGGGGATACCTCTCCGTATCTAGAGACTGGGCTTATATGCCCTGAGTCTAGTCCCCTTTTCATCATCTAACTCAGTTCTCAGCTCCCAGAGCCCAGTGCTGCTTGTTCGCTCATCAACCACCCAGCCCTTTGTGGCCAGTGGCTCAATTTACACAGACAGCTCACACCGGCTTCCCTTTGCCAACACGCTTTCTGCCATCTTCCCAGGTTCTCCCTTCATACCAACAAGGGTGGAGGGTTCCCTGTTACAGAATGACATAAAAAAATGTCCTGTATTTACTCAAATACAAGACGAGGTTTTTTCCTCAATCAGCATAGGGGAAAAAGCCCCTCATCTTGTATTTGCATATAAGGAAACTTCACTAAATACAGTGTCTATCATTAAGCTGCTGCCAAAAGCAGCATGCACTCAGTAATGGAAACTAACTATGAAGTTGATTAAATGCAGGCAACACTAAGCTTGATTATAAAACACTTGGCCCATAGTGGGCAAACAGCTGATAGGAACTCCCCCCCTCCCCGCCATTTAAGAAAATGGACAGGTGCTCCCTCCATAGAGAACTAGCACCAGGCCTGAAGGTACTACAATCCCAGGCTGGCACCAGGAGCCCTGACACCCTTCCCTTGGTGCCAATAATTCTTGATCTTAGGCCCCGATACAACACATAAGTCCAAAACCAACAGGCTTTACCATATAGCTCATTGGCCTGAGTCCCACCACAGTCAACAGCGTTTCAAGCCATGGTGACCCCACAGCTCAGCACAATTCAGTATGTGTGTGCACTCCATATACCTGCCACAAAAGGATCTATGTGGTAATTAGTCCCCGCAGTCATGCCTGGAACTGAGTTTTCTTGTCACAAATCCTGAGATCCTCCAAAAATGTACTCGCAGGTCAGGTGCAGGGCAACCCGTTCTGGCTGCACCTCATGGAGAGAGGCATCACACTCATGTGTACCAGGCTGAGAGAGGGGGTGACAGAGGGTTTCTGGGTGAGCTGTTGGGGGCCCCATTTGGTGATGTTTGCCAGACATTTAAAGCTGGTGAAGAAACAGGGATTTCCATTGAATTTACTAGGTTTTTAATCAGACCCCAAGCAACTTGAAGAGAAATGTGTCCACATCAAAGAACACGGGGCTGATAATGCCTACCCAGACAGTGGAAGCGTGTGCAAGTCTCATTCAAAACTACAATCAGTTCTATTCAGAGCGCCTCACCCTGTGGCAGCCAGGTTCAAACTGTCCCCTCCATATGCTGAGGCTGGGATTATGTGCCCCAAGTCGGGCCCCCTGCTGGTCATCTAACTCGGTTCTCAGCTCCCAGGGCCCAGCCAGTTCCCTCATCATCAGCCACCTGGCCCTCGGTGAAGGAAATGAGAGATAAAAAGACACTGGGAGCATGCCTATCAAATTATAGCAATCAGGGAACTAATCCAAGCAAGGGTGAGTAATGCTTATTTCCTGCTATCTGTGTCCAGAGACCCTGATCAGGCACATGCTTTAACTCAAAGTTTGCAATACCAGTGTTAAACTGAAGAAATGATTTGGGGTGAGGTGACTTGACTGGCTTCTAAAAAATATTTTAAAAGAGATGAACCCTTGATTTAAACTACAGCACTCCAGGGTAATCCACAAAACTTCTGTTTCCTTGAACAATGTTAATCTCCTACTAGCTACAAAGACAATATGACACTTTTATTATTATAAACAACCTCATAGAACCAATACTATGGACACTGGCTTCACAGAACTCCTAAAGCAATGCTTTTCAACCAGGGTGCCATGACACCCTGGGATGTCTTGAGATCCTTTCAGGGTGCCATGCAATTTTAGCACTCTTAAGTCTGCAAATATGGCTCACAAGTTAAACCCAGAGATTTCCAATAGGAATCCATAGTGTTAAAAACATTCTAACCTGTTTTGGTTTTTCTGAGTTCTTTGTAACAGAAAAAATGCTCTATTGTTTTTTATGTATTTAAAAAAAGAGTGAAAACAAAGAGTTGACATTTTCCGATAGGTGCTTTGACTCCCATCAAGTCTAACAAGGCTGAGAAACACTGTCCTAGAGGAAGTTGTATTGGTGTGCCATAAAAATATCCTATATGAGGGAGCACCAGTGTGGACCCTAATGAAAGAACAAATGCAGAGTAGCAATTTAACCATTTTTCAAAGTGAAAAAAGAATTGAATAGGATGGAGAAGCATGGTATAGTATAACATATCACTAAACTGAGAGAGGCGCATCCATCTGAAGGACATTATGGAAAAAATGAACATAAATATCTTTATGCACCTAAAATAGGTCCCTGAAGCAATAAGAAGAGAAAGGTATATTTTTCCCACTCTGGAAGATACAGGGGCCAGATCCTCAGTTTGGATAAATTAAGGAGGCTAAACCAGGCAAGTCATTGTGTTGGTGTTTTTGGAGATAGTACTATTTTCCTTATTCTAATAAGGTTCCTCTTTCAGCTTTACAAGAAAGGCACTGTTTCTGTGACACCTTAATGTTGCCATGTGACTGTAGGATATGTTGAACCTGTTTGAAATTAATAACAGAGATGACTTAAATTTATAATGCTGGGACAATTTATTTCTTTTTTTAGTTAATCCCTTGTTAATAAAGAAAATGCTGACTTGTAAATTGTTTTACCAGTTGGGCTTCTTTGACTTTGCCTAATGGCTCCTCAGAGAGAGTTTTATAACTTTCCCTCTAGCTCAGTGATTCTCACCCAGGGTGCCACAGCACTGTGGAGTGACTTACTATCCATTCAGGGGTGCTGTGGAGTGCCACACAATATTAGTATCTTCAGATTGCCGCAGAAGAAATGTTCTTTTATTTTTCTGTAGTAAAAAATTAAGTGAAAACTAAAAGCTGATGTTTCCAGTGGGTGCCTTGAACCTAGCGAGTGTTTTCAATGTTTTTAGACTCAAGGCACCCCTTCGAAAATCCAGCTCTTAGTTTTTCACTGTTTCTTTTTTTTGACTATGGAAAAATAATATAGCAATTCTGTCATTGAAAAAGCTCAGAAAGACCACAACAGGTCATAACGTTTTTGACAGTATGGATTCCTATTTGAAATCTCTGAGTTTATCTTGTGAATCATATATAGGTGTTTGCACAACTAACAGTGCTAAAAATGTAAGGGATCTCTTGGCATCCTGGTTGAGAATAACTGAACTAAAGAAAGACTTGAAGTTGCTTAAGTCTATGGGAATTTTCTGGATTGTCATTTTAGACAGCTGTTTCGTGTTATTTTGTAGCCTAGATGGGGAAAATTGACAACTAAATATGACAGTGGTTTGCAGAGATAAAAGATCCTTGGAAGAAAGAAGTTGACAGAAGTCTGATGTGGTGTATTCCTCTCTCTGTCCCCTCCTACTTATTGTATGATGGCTGTACAACTTAGACCATGAAGGACAAAGCATCAGACAGAGCATGTACCTGTTCAACTACAGGCTACAAGACACATAGTCTACAAGGTGCAAAGACTCATAACATCACCAAGAAGCACCATATGGCACGTTTGAGACCTTTTTCCATCACAATTTTTACAGCACATCAAAACTTTAGTATTAGGCATGTTAAAATATTATTCCTCACTCCAACAAGAGGAGAGTGGATGATGGTCTGAGTGCTTTGAATCAAAAGCACTTTCTACTTGTGGCTATTTACATCAGAAGGAAAGGATTATGATAGAAAATAATGGACCCCAACTTTCTACTCTGTCATTCTTTTACTATAACGTTTAGACTCAGAGAGGGAAGGATATGGCTCTGAACATGGCCAGGCAAAAATAAATTATTCAGACAGTGAGTTTTACCTTGGTAAGACTCCCTCTACTGTGTTTGACATTCTGAATTGCATGATTATACAGTATAAAATTCCACCAACATTTTGTATTGTAAAGATGGAGATGCTCAGCATTTTGCCAGATGCCAAGTGATATTATGATATTTCTATCTTCTTTTTAATTTGAGTGACAGTCAGCATATTTGCCATGAAGCCAAGACAATCTGTTATCAAGTTACACTAGTGATATTTTTCCTAATGATGAAGATCCCAGAGCTGATTGGAATCAAGCTCCTTAAAACTCTATAGTGTGAGCTTGAATTACTTTCTATGCACTATAATTTTATATTTGTGCCTGTCTAATAAGTAGTTCATAGGGTATAGATTTTTTGTAAGTAAGTATATACATACTGCACCATTTCCTGATTCAGTGTGCTCCAGTGTGTTGCAGGCTGTGTGCAGTGGGGGAGGTGCTAGAGCTGATCAAGCAGAGTAATTTTATACATTACTGAATCAGTGCAGGAGAAACCTGGAGGGACAAAGCATCTTCTCGTCTTTGGACTGCAATGTAAAATCCTATAGCTTTCTTATCCCAACCATGCTCTGATAGGTTTTTTTTCCTTTTCTTTTCCTGATTTTGGTGTGAATGATTAAGTGATCTGATGATGGCTCTCGTTATGGAACCTATTAGCAAGTGGACGCCCAAGCAAGTAGTGGATTGGATGAAAGGTATGATCATTATTATCTGTGCTCTATGCAATTTACATTTCTGCTTCTGCATTTTTATTTTGTCAAGAGTTAATGCAGTTTTAAAAATCCCTGTGCTGTTTTGTACAGTAGTTCTCAGAGACATGACTGAACAGAGAGCCTGGTATGAGCTGTACAACGTGCTGTTGGAATCTCTGCTAAGAACTGAGTAGTGATCTAATGCATTTGTGGGTAAAGACAGACAGTATATAAAGTGTTTATGGCTTAAGACTCCATTATGAATTGCACAGTGTAATCTTATTATGTTTGGTTGTCTTTAAATTTGCCCCGATTAGCTCTGTTTTGCTCATATCAGGTGATTTGATGCAGTGGCTGTGCAGCACTTCTGTATAGTTCTAGGGAATAAACAGAGAATGCATGGTACCAGTGACTGAACTATGAAATTCTGATCCTTAAATGATACATCCTGATTTGTTCAGGCTTCTCTTGCTCGTATTTCTGTGTTTTGTATAATGCATACGCTTCTCTGACAATCACTAGTACCGTGGACAGTGCAGTCTTTGCCATATATGGAGAGTGCAAGAGGAAATGAGAGGGCTGCTTGTCTGAGCACAGCTTCACTGAGGAAACTCTTCTGGATAACTTGACAGGAATTATGATTTCCTTGAACATTTGTAATTTTATAAACACAGACATAAGCTGTGAAATGTTTTCTTTATGGTACTCTGCTATGTTACAAACAGATTGGGTTGGATGGAAGGGTAAAGAATTGTTGGTGATAAGTGCTTCAATTTTCCCCTGAATTGGAAAAAAACTATTTACATAGCAGATGCCTTAACATAGTTTTACACTTTTTCTAATGAGGCATTGGTCTCAGACCTACTAACTTCTGTTCAAAAACAGTCTCCTATTAGATAAAGGAAAAGTATAATTTTTATGTGTACTCTATCTGTGAATGTTTTCTGTAATGGGGTTTTACCTAAACATAGGGTTAAATTGGATGGTAATAGTTTTTCTTTACAGCTTTCACATTTGTTATCTTAACTCTGGGTCTGGCTTTGCTTTCATTATACTTGAATATATGTCCACACATAAGTGAAACTGGACTCTGTATGTTCTTGTTAGTAATAGTAGAATTGTGGTCAAGCTACACTCATTACAAATATACAGACTCAGTCATAAGGCAGACAGCATCTATGGAAAAACATAGTTTGTTACTCAGGTGTCTGTCAACTTAGGCTAGTTGGAAGACTAAATATCCTAAGCAGGTCAGCTAGGATGGATGTAGAAGTTAGCTGATATGTGATTGCTAATTATGTCCAATGACATTAACTGAATCAGACCTAGTACTGATGCAAGTCTCTGATGATATAGATCCATGGGGTTAAAGCAAGCAGATAGATTTTTATAGCATCTTAAGTGATGAGTTAGGTTGTAATATAATACTTCTAGAAAATTTGAAATACAGCAACAAGTATTTAAATTATTCCCTGACACCCTTTCATCCCATTGACACAAACTAATTACATCTTGGGTAACATTAGTTTATGACAGTAGAATTAGCAGCTTTTCCACTGTAAACAAGTAGTGTAAGACTTTTTTATAATGTGCTATTCAAATGTTCACCATGCATATTAAATAGCCTGTTTGATGAGGGATATAGTATGCATTAGTTTCAAACATGTTATGACTACCAATATTTCTATATAAAGGTTGTATCCTAAGAAACACTGGGGTATCCCCATGTAACTGTGTTAGTACTTTGAAACACCAGTGTTCAAATATAAATAAGAATATTGCACTGAACACTAGCATATGTATTGGATTGAGGGAATTTATTTGATCAGATGTAGTGCATGCAACTAGAGATCCCAAGCTGCACATATACCTATTATTAATAAGCAAATATTACAAGTCCATTACATTTACCCTGTACTAATAACACATTTCAGGTATTAGTATATGTCTTGCATAGCTAAGCAAAAGGGTTCTAAAACCCCTTGTATCAGAAAGTGTAAAATGCTACCAATTAGTTTAAAATCATCTCAAAATCCCTGACTTAGTTGCTATTGTGATAATCATTCTCACCATTGCACTGTAACTTTTTTTTTGTTGTTGTTTTTGTTTTTAGCTTGCTGTCACTTTCATTAGCTGTATTTGTTCTGCTGAATAGACTTTAATGCAGTAGTCAGGATGAAGCTCCAGAATGCTAGTGGCATTCAAGTGATATGTAACTTATCTATATGAATCACCCACAGTGAAGGATTTACTTCCTAGCATATTCACATGAAAGAGCCTGACAAGACAACCTAGCTAATTATAGTTTAACAAACTGCATACCTTATTTAAACACAGTTATTTAAAAGGGTCAGATGTGACATTTGGAATAAAGACATATATGTCATTTTTAAATTTTATTACTATCAAACATAAGGCTGATATTGTTCTTCTCTTTGACAAAAAGGCAATGAAGCCTAGTTGCCAATTCTATGAAGTCACAACATAATTACCCTTGTTATAACACCACCTTTCTGTGACATTTACAATGAAATCACTGTTCTGAAGGTAGAACATTTCCTTTACTACTGAAAGCAACATGTTAATAAACAATACGTTAAAATGCTAAAGGTGCAGTCAGTCCTTGTTTAAAAAAATAAAGAAATAAAAATAGCCCATTTATCCTTAAAAATACTTACTCAGCTTTCTTATTAAAAACCATTAAGTACCATTTCCACCCACAAGTCATTTCACAGAAAGATGACCATAACAAGATATCTTTTTATAATTTGTGTTCTTAAAATCAGTTAATAAATCATTTGTTTTGCAAACTAATTAGAAATGAGTGCCAGTCATATAAGAGCAGTATAAGAGATCATGGGTAGAAGCCAAAAATTTATGTCCGAAATGTAATTCACTAAATACACATAAAGCATATTATTATAAGACACAACCATATCCTGAGTTCCACCCCAATGATGGCAGCCTTTCTATCCTTTTTCTTCAAGAAGGATTACTTGGCAAAATATATAAATATATCAAATATCATTGTAGCAGGCTGGCATCTTGAATTTTTCCACGATTCTTTCTTAGGAACAGATTCAGTGGCAGATTGTCTGTATTTCATATTGTGGGTACCCAAAAGGCCACAAAACTCTTGAGAAACTGATTTTCTCTGGCTTGCACATCTGGCAATGAGGAATCTCAATAGCTTTGTAATGTTGAATTGCTCTTTAAATTATACAAAAAAATCTGAGCTGCTGAGAGAAATAGTCAAGACATTAAAAAGAAATGTTTTCCAAGCAGGATTGGTATACATGGACTTCAAAAAAGTATTTTTGGTCATGTGGTTTTTGTTGCTCTTTCCTCACTTATTTCTGTTTTTTCAAATTTATTCCACTTTCCATTCTTGTTTCTAATGTAAGTTTTTGGAACTGTTTATCCTGATATGTATTTTTCCCTTACATAAATATTTTCCCTGGAGTAATAGATCCCCGGGGACTGAAAACATTAATTTAAGGAAATGGTCTTTTCCCTGCCTGGCCTAAGTTTCTTGTTTGCAATACTGGGATGGGGTAAGGGGCAGAGTATTCGCCATAAACAACGTAGACTGACAAAGAGGTACAAATACATGTAATTGTTTTGCATTTATTTCATTTAGTTGTAGTTATTTGAAAATTAAATTTATTAAAATGAATACATGGTGGCAAAATACACCTTACTATTTATATCTCTAATGCCACTACCTAGAGATTTCTGGTGTCTTTTAATCTAGTAACAATGAACACCTCTATTTCTTGTATAAACTAGTGAAGCTTTGCATATAAGGCCACATTTTATCAAAAAGTGTTCTTCTCAACTAAAAAGCAAACATTTTTCCTACAACATTAAATAATGCAATGGAAAAACAGGTAACTGTGTGCAGGAAACAATTTTAGTGTCCGCAATTGCACCTCCTGAATCTCTTTTGCTTTTAAAGATATTTAAATCGGGATGTGTAATGTTTAATTTTGAAATAAATTATTAAAACATTAAAACACCTACATTTTCAAATAATGGCTCTGAGGACTTCTTTTCTTACTGAGTCGAGCAGGTTGTATTTAAAATGTGTTTCTCTGCATTTATGTAGTATCTTAGGTAAATCAATACAAATTTTTACACAACAATCCACTGTTTTCATTAAAAAAAACCCCCCAAACAACAAAAAAATCTTCTCTTGAAGAGAGCTAAATGTTATTAAACAGCTGGAAATTAAAATAGGAAATCAGCTATTTCTTAAGTGTACCTTCAGTAATAACTTCACATGGAGTAAGTTATTCAAAGTCCTGCTGATTGATAGCAATGTTTGTCTGCCAGAACAGCCTGAAGTAGAGGTTCCTTTCATAATGACTGCTCAGCTATAAATACTCATTTCACAAATGCAACTCATTTTTTTTTCCCCCTTTAAATCTTGAATTTCTTCATTCTCAACAGGAGATGCAGACATGGAAAAATAAAAATTAATTCAGTTGGTAAACTGATTAACTGTGCTGCATTGATCCTGTTCAGAATAATTATATGTTTAGCTGAAGGGTTTTCCTTAGCATGTAATTCCCTGATTTCAAGCTGGCTCATAAAAGAGAGAGGAAGGATAGGAGGGAGGGGTGGAGAGCAAAGATGCTGATGACGTGAATGGGCTTGTTAACATTCACATCACACAGGGCTCCGGCAAACTCCTTTTCAGTCTTTTTGCTTTTCATTAAATCATTACCTGCTTTATAGCAACATGTCATAAACAGTGAGTCTCCCACATTTACAGAATGTAATGTATAAAATCTTAAAGTGTATTGGAGGCACATAGCTAAATCTATGATCTGTTGCGAAAGCAGCCTTGCACGGACTGAGCTGGGTGTTACTTACCTTTCTCCCACAAAACCCCATATTTCAAGAACTATACTTCAGGAGATACAACGTAAAATTTGAGTAGATAACCCAGTGTACATATTAGTTAGAAAAATGTAGGTTTTATCCCATCCTTTCAATTT